TTCGCTAGACTAGAGTATCAATTTGTTGAACAGCATGTTTTGCAGCGCATTGAAAATGCATCGAAACCATTTGAAAACCTCGAACATCCAAAACGTTGAAAAACCAAAGAATACAGTATGGAAATAATCGGGGAAAATAGCAAAGTTAATTGAGTTTTGACAGAATCATTTTTAAAGAGCGCAAGCAAACAAAACCAAAAAATAAACTAGCGACGTGACATAGGACTCGACACTAATGAAGCAAATTACCGTTATAGTGGAATGCTTGGCAACGGTTGTTATAGCCGGGGCCCGTGTGCGTCATGCACAAACGCCAAAACGTTTTTCACGTACCCATCGTACACCCTTCAATTCAATTTGTCTTGTTTCTATTTTCGGTTAGCATTCGAAATCGTGTGTATCGTTTATTAGACGATCGAGAGTTCGGGAGAGCGAAAGCAAGAGCAAAATTCAATGTTACACGCGCCGCACACGGCATGCAATTTTTGGCTCCAAATTGCTGATTGACACGAACCAAAATGCATTTTGACATTGTGTGTATACCGTGTACTCGCAATCTGTTCGTGTGTATTTTATTATATGGAAAACCATTGACTGGTTTTTGGTTGGGTGGATAAATAATTTCCACTGCTGGACCGTTGCTCGTTAGACGCGATAGCCCATAAACGCAACAAAAACAGAAGAATCTTCATAAACATGTCAATATGACCATTTTGTTTAGGAGCCAAATTGATTCATTAAAATGTGATTCAGATACGGGGAATATGGTTTGGATAAGCTGGAAGCAGCAGCAGCAGCAGCATCATCAACGGCCTATGTTCTTATGGGATGACACTCCGCGACGGAGGGATATTACATATTTCGTAATTTATTATAATCAGCATTGATTTGTGCCAATAATTCTGTCCTTGGGTATTATCGTCTGCGCGGCTCGTGTTGCTTCCACTTTCAATATAATTTCATCTGTTTCGACGCGCCCTTTAATTTACTATATGTCATAAAAATGATAAATAATTTTCCGACCAATACTTCGAATGCCACAGAAAATACAGTTTCCATCGATTTTTCCCCGGTGTTGTTTCTCCAAATATTTTCGCATCTTTATTGGTTTCCGATGAGTTCGATGACGATGATGGTAAGCGTGGATATTGACAGTTCGAAGGGCGTTTTTACGAGATAAAAATGAGATATATTCAACACAGTCAAAGTGGATTAGTTCAACAAGTAATTCAATTACATTTGATTGGTTTTGGTTGTTCCTTTTGAAGTTGCCAATTACAATGTGCATGCTCGAAAATGAATGGAAAAACTTTGTGCAGATAGAAATCTTTACACAAATTCAAAGAAAAAAAAACTTCACTTTAATTCTCAATTACAGAATTGGGGAAAAGTTTTTTTTTGCTTCAAACAAATTGCTACGATGATTTAAATAGAGCAAGCATGTTAACGTAACTAGAGGGAAAGAGAAAAAGAGAACGAGAGAACAAATGTTTTGTTCGGTCGGTGTAAAAATGCATCGAAGAGGATTCATTGGAATTAATGGGAGAAAATGTGGAAAACTTTTGTCTCACCATTTTTCCCTTGTTCGTCAGTTCTCTGCTAACACGAAAAATGCCCGAATAAAATTGTAACTGACACAACCTCCTCCCAAACACACGCACGCATACACCTCTCAACCGGTGTCGGTAACGTGCATCGAGAGTGTACCCAAATAAATTTTAATTAAATAGAAATGTTTTCGGCATGATGTGAGCGTTGTCTACGTGTAAAAGTCGATGTATGCAACCATCGGATCATCGGTTGATTTGAGTACGCTGACTTCAAGTGGTGTGCCGGTCAGCGCCGTAGCCAGGCCGGCGCAATGGGTGCATTGCACCCTCCAAAAATTTCAAAGGTGCAACAAAATCGGGTGCAAAGTCGGGTGCAAAATCGGATTTCAAAGGTGCAACAAAAGAAATATTTCGATTTTGCACCCTCCAATTTTTTTTTCTGGCTACGGCGCTGGTGCCGGTGAACAAGTTCTGATGGCATTCCAAACAAACATTGCCACAACTGAAATGTGTACCGTGTTCATCCAACACTGCAGTCATAACATACATAGTGAAGTCGACACGACAACTGAGCCAAAAGTTTGCAGAATCTTTGTGGCAAGCAGACAGCCATACACACACACACACACGTAGAGCAACATGCCATTTAAATGATTACATTCTGGTTCAGTAAATAGCTGAAAAATGGAATTTTTCGCCGCTTTTGTTCTCTTTCTCTTTCAACATTTTCATAAAATTCCTCTCAGTGAATGCGAACTAAACTGAAAAATATGGACGAAAGTATTGGCTTGGAAAAAATACAAATTTTAATAATGATAATAATTAGACAAAGAACCATTTTTTGGAACTCACCCACCGCTTTTCATTGTCTACGAAATTCATTTATTTAGTTACTTACCTTCACTTAATTTTCATAATTTTGGTTTTGGTCAATGGGTTTCATCCCTTCTCTCTCTCTCTCGCATTTCCTCGCTCGCTCTAAAATCCCTACTCTCCCTTTCGATTTCGTTGGAAATAAATCTTCAAGCCAGTCCTCGTCGAATGGTCAGATGAGAAATGGAGAACAGTTGCCGAGAGTTAGAGGATTACATAGAAATGCGCTTCACAATGGAAATTAATTCGTTTTAATTGTAATTTATATGTTGGGCATTTGTTTCGTACTACCGTTTTTCGATCTTTTTCGTTTTCGGTTTCTCGCATTATTCTGCTTCGTTTGCGTCGGCACATCATTTACTTTGCTACAGTTTTCATGAAGCATTACATGTGAGGCGCATGGTTTTTGTGGCTTTTTTTCTTGCTTGATTTTGAATGCTATAAATCGCAGCAGACGACATGCAAAACTAAAATGTGGCCTCTGTGTATATTACTTAGGGTGGACATAGCAGAAGAGCAGGCTGTTTTTGAACGACTTCAGGTGTTACATTTTGTTGACATTTTTTTTATTGGTAAATGCTGTACACATTTTATGCATTAATTTGATTTAATATATTTTGAATCAAGCAAATCAAAAAGCCGACCATTGAAGCAGCATAGCAATAGAAGAATCAATTTTTGATTTGTACTGTTGATGCAGACACTTTTTGCTATTTACAGCACAGAGAACAGTTTTTTATTCCGATTTTTCTTTAATGATTGGTTTCGGACTTACTGACAGTATGAAGTATGAAGAAATGTTGGGAATGATATTGTTGAACCGTCCAAAGAAGACGCGTAGATAATCGGATAATCGGGAATATGAAGAAGCAGAAATCATTTATAAGAATATTTACCGAAAATATTTCTAGGAATTAGAAATTCTTTCTAAAAAATCCAATGAGAAAACGTAAATTATCAATTAGGCTTAAAAACGCTTGGTAGGTCAACAGCTCGTGTATAAAAGGAAGAATTGTGTTCAATTTCGCTTTAGTGGTAGAGAAACCTTTGTAACAATACTTCAACCATTCAACGCGGTTTTTTTTCTACATTTTTCATCGTTTTCTTCCTCGATAGAAATTGACTATCGAAAAAAGGAAACTGAAAAAATGAAAATTTTAATATTTGAGAGAAATTAAGCAATTTCAAGAATTTATTAAATTTTGTGCGCAAATACATATATAAATATTTAATTGCACAATATTTGAAAAGATATTGTTTCAAAAAAGTAAATAAACAAAATGAATATCGTTAAGAACGAACGAAGAACGGAAAATGATAAATTGCAAACACAATTCGATTTTCGATTGCGTTTAAAGTGCCGATGTTTTTAATTATAGTTGTTTGCTTATATAATTCATTCGCATTTTCACTTGAATAGACTTGAGTTTGTTTCTTATTTACAGCGGAATAAAATTCTTCCTGACTCATCGAGTATTTGGAAGTTGTAATTTGCTTTACAGAAAGAATACGCCATGGAATAAATGAAATGCGAGTTGTATCGAAATGAATTTCATCAAAAGCAAAACACTCTCTTTTGAAGTGTGTAATCACACAAGTGAAGCATTTTTTTTCAAATACACTTTCTTATATCGAATTACGCTGACCTGATCGAATAACTCGCATCAATTTATAATATTTGTTTATTGGGTTCTATGTTTAGCGCTGAACTGTTTGCGTTTACGCTCTGCATTACAATGTAGTATGCATACACTGCTCAGTGTATAGCTTTCTAATCAAGAATTCAAGTCCCATAAAAATGCATTAGTTTCAAAATATTCATTCTTTAAGAAAGCAAACGCTTAAATCGTTTTTCCATTCAAAACAATTGTTTCAACGCGCGAGTGTTATTTTTATTAGCTGTGGTGTTCAACTTAACACTCTAAAGGCGCCTTTTTAATTAGGCAAAAAAGCGGTTGTCACGCAATTTGTCGTATTTGGAGTGTGCAAAATCACAGCAAAAAGTTGTGGCGCACGCTGCATTTGGAATAAGTGGTCTTGCCGGTCGCTTATCAGTTTAAAAAATGATTCATCAAAAGGGCTTGCCCGAACCTGCCGACTATTTAATAATCAAGTTTCGTTGTTGTTAATGGAAAAACCGTTTCATTTATATTATGACCCCTATTTGTATACCAATTTATTTGTTGACTATAAATTTTTATTGGTGCATTTGAAAACATAATGTATCAAAAGCTGATTCATAAGGCACTTGCATAATTGTTTTTCGTCTAGCGTTTCAAGCCGATTATTATATATTTCGTATTTACATTTATTCCGTTCACCATAGAATGAGAGCTCTGCAGTATACAGTAACACAATAACATTCGATTATGCAATGAAACAATTTATTTCTTTTTTAATAGATTTTATTGAATTTGATAAATAATTATTGATACCTGAAGTATCGATGCATTGTCCAAAGAGTCTGAATTTTGTATAAGCTATTTTCTGTATGAATATTTTTATCAATATCATTGGATCAGTGAGAGTGTGAGAATTCTTGAAATTTTTAACAGAGATTCATACTTATTACCCGGTATTCATACTTATTAATTACGCGCATTGACTCAATTTCGCAATATTACGTAATTTCTACTTATTTGGGTATTTTTTCTTTACATTTTACTAATATAAATGTGGTTTTTCAAAATCTGTTCTTTGTTATGTTACACAAAATATTGATACAAAGTTTTTGTTGGCCAAAAAGGTAAAGTATAACGAAGAAAAAAAACAAAATATCAACGAAAATACTTGGGTGCGCTAAAGTGATCTCTGATTTTTAACTTCAAAATAACTATGAATATTGGTCGACTAAGTCGATTCGACTTTAATCAATAATAATAAAATAATTATTTCATCAAATAAAAATAAATGATATTCAAAAAAGAACACAGGGTTTGATTTATTTGAGTTATTTAGAATAAACGTGCCAGCCGCCAATTTGTCTGTCTTTGTTTTTTATTTCTGTTTGACACGATGGAGTTGTCTGATGAGTTAATTTGGCAAAGTTTGAGTTTTCCATAGGATCTTAAATTCTCTCAAAGACACTATTGAAAATCTTCAGCATGTAAAACACATGATACAAAGACAAACACATCGAAGGAAGTGTCTTTTATTCTAAACGAGTGTTTTAATTTAACTTATTAAATTCGATCGACTTTCAGCCAAACCCCATCACTCGGGATGAGCGTGTTTTTTGTGGATGAATATTGAATCGGAATTTGAGTTCGGGCCGAAGTGGAAAATTCGAAATTTCGCAATAGCGACACCAAACCCACGGTAACCAGTAGCGTTGCGAAACGAAATCCAATGCACTTTCTTGGTCCTGTATATGAAACAAAGGAGAAAACGAATTGAATACGAATCAAATGGCATAATCTAACGACTAGTGGTGAAATACAGTAGTTGAATGGTAAAATAGAAAGAAATGTGTACCTGCACCGAACGCTAGAAATGCGTTGGGGAGAGGCTCTTCTGAGAATCGCTCTGGGATGAATCGTTCAGGGTCGGGAAAAAAGGCTGCATCGTGGTGAACGGCGTAAATTGGGATGAAAACGCGCATTCCCGTTGGAATGGTGAAATCAGTGTTTGGTACTCTGAATGGCTTGGTTGCGATTCTCGTTGCATTCCCAGCCACTGGATGTTTTCTCAACGTTTCTGCAGAAAAGAACATCGATAAAAATGTTCAAATGAGAGGTTATTTTGCAACACTGTTTAATTCACTGAATATTGACTTGAAATTACCGTTGATAATCTGTCTGCAATAAATCATCTTATTCAACACTTCATACGTCAGCTGTCCGTTATGTTCACCCAAAACCGATTGGATTTCCTTTCTGGCTTTATGTTGGATATGCTTATTGTTTGGCAATGCCAACTCGTACAAACAATACGCGAGTGTTGACGTCGAGTCCGCGTAGCCAGCTGACAATAGATCAAATGCAAGAGCTGCAATTTCCTTTGTACTTAAACCCGAATCAATGAGCAATTGCATGTAATCGTTTCGTCTTTCATCATTTTCCATGCGATACTGAATCGTTTGTTCAACCACATTGACGAAAAAATCGGAAACTTCTTTCGAATGTTTTCTAATGCCCAAAAATCTTGCCAAATCCGGATGTGCAATTGTCAAATGATTCCACGGGAATTTCAAGTATGGTTCCATTGCTTTTTTGGCCATTTCTCTTAATTGTGTTGATCTATTCAACGTATTGCACTGGATGCCGATGGCCACTTTGCCAATTACATCTGTGGTAAATCGGCTGAAAAGTTTTCGTATTTCCACTTGGTTGTCGATCGCGATGATTTCGTTTAAGCCTTTTACGAGCTCATCTCCGACGGTTTTCATTATCGGAAACATGTCTTTAATTTTAGATGGAGTGAAAGCTGGGGTCAATTTGGTCCGAAGTGGCCTCCATTTTTCGTGATTCAAAGTACCCAAAATTGCGCTTAACGGATCATCCCGGTCGTTGTAGAACATGCCGCGATTTTGAAAATGTGCAAAATTTTCGGTTAATATGCTTCGCATCAGTTCCAAGTCGACGATCAACACTGATGGGTCTAAGAACATATAGACGCCGATTATTGGACGATTCATATCGTGTGCACGCGAACGATGGCTTTTATAAAAATCGGTAAACTGAAGCGCTTGATGTTTTTCTTTCGTAACATTTCCGAAAATATACGGAAACTTGAGTGGAACGAACGGAATATTATGGCGTCTCCAATACGAGTAGCGAAGTGCGAGAAATACACACAATAAACCGAATAAAATCGATAGAATCATGTTCAACCAATTTTAAACCCGCAATTTTTCACTTTTCACTTCTTCGGGATCTGGTGATGCGCAGTATATAAATATTATTGTTTTTTTTCTTCGATTCGGTTGGTATTGATTGAATAAATCGTGGAAATGCGGTTCGCTCACTTTCTTTAAGAGAAAAATAAAACACACAAACTATTTTTTTCTCTGTTCAATAAACTTCACAATGTTTAACAGTTCACGGTCTTTGAATTACGATCAAATGCGATTATTAATAACGATTGCTCACGATACGACTGCCAAACGATGAATGCTATTTTTTCTACTGTGCGCGATCCAATTATATATCCGATAAAGATATGTAAACATTCTAAGTGAGTGTACTTGTTGTGTACTGGAAGCTCGCGGCTTAGGGCTATGGTCACCAATGAAAGGCTTTTTTCAATGCGCACGAAGTTTATTTGTGAAGCGACAAATAACTCTTACATGAAGAAAAGTCTCCTTAAATCCGCTACGATTCGGCTCCGTCAAACTCGACTTCGATTCACACTTTCATTTTCAAACTTATGCCTATTTACATTACACATACATTCAAGCGCGTATTTCTGGCAGAAATTAATCGTGAAACGCATACGCGTAGTTTACCATCTCTATCCACAGCTTCATTTCCATTACGCTTGCCTAGGTCAGAATTAAACTCGAAGCGTTAGTGTGATGCTGCCAAGCGGTTGCGTTTCACACTTAAGTTCTGACGATATTCCGCCGTTGAGTGTGATACGCAAATGCAATGCCTATATAGAATCAATAATTTAGGCGTTATCGACAGAGCCGTTGTGTGTAGAACAGAGTCGTAACGGATTTAAGGCGTCTTTTCTCTATATACAAACATCATTTGTAAACCAAAAAAATGTTGGATAGCAATTTTTTAAGTTAGAGCGAGTAGCAGTTTACAAAGTAGCAGCGGTCCAAAACAGTGATGAGTTTGGAATTTGAAGAATGTGCAAATGCGGCAAATAAGCAGCGCAAAATAATTTAGTACGGAAAATTGAAATCGCTTTACGAATATTCACTTCAAAGTTTCTAGAGGTTCAGTGGCGACTTTTATTATGTGAATTCTACTAAAATGTAACATGAAACCACCTGCTAATTGCAGGCTGCAAAATTATTATCGTGCATTGTTTCAATCGATTCGAAATGACGGTATCGCCCAATCAGTTTTATTAAAAACATTATAAAAAGTGCATTGTTTTTCGTCGCACACGCGGTCGATCGTCCGCTATAGTGTAATCAAATATATTTCAAACAATATCAGATTCAATCGTACTCTATATCCAGTTCCGATAACACATGCGGCTATTTGAAAGTATGTATTCATGTGATGTATAGGTACACTGACGCACATAACGTGAACAACGAATGCAAGTTTTGCGTGCGCCATACATGTTTAGTGTTTATCCGAGGGGCGAATCACTCTAAAGTAATTTGTAATAGAGAAAGTAATCGAGAAAGTAATTTACGTGTAAAAATTTCGATTACTTTTCAAAAGTAATCGAGATTTTTACACGTAAATTACTTTCTCTATTATAAATTACTTTAGAGTGATTTGCCCCTCGTGTTTATCAGACGATATTGGTCGATTATTCCTACTTTTAACGCTTATGAGTACTCAATATAAATTGTTCTCTTCTGCTTGCTACTTTGTTGAGGCATTCTTTCTCATTTTTGTTTTTAACCGGTGACACACACCCACTTTGAGACATTGTATGAAACAACACTCTTGAAGTCAACGATAAAATGGAAAAGTCAATAACCCAAGAAATTTTTGTCATGCGGCATCTATAAAAAATCAATTTTTGTCTTGATGCCTCTACATTTTTGTTGCATTTCCGAGCCCGATTATCAAGTCAACCGCCAATCCTATCGATCATCAAGCCATTTGATTTGATAATTATAAACAAATGTCCAATTTCTCCGAAACCGATTCGAAAATATAGATGTACTGGTTTGTTTTTGTAATATTTTTTTTCCACATTCTTTCTTTGTTTATGTTTTTACGCAATACGTAACTCAATAAGAATTTCATTCCCCGCTATTCTTCATTGCTGTGGCCAAACTAAATAGACATTATTCCGTCGAGACTATTGCAATTCCGCGATACAATTTGAAATGGATTTTAAATGAAATTACAAAAACATAGCAGGCGATGCTATAATTGTGTATTGAACAGACACCATCACATCTCCAATGTGTCTACCACATATTATTTTATTCAGTCGATGTGACAATCGAAAAATGTTCGAAACGGAACCAAAATCCGGCTTGCAAATTCGTTGAACACACATATGCAAAATATATGCAAAATCGAATGTGTAGGATTGTCGGACACCATTTGTTCCGGTGAGCCGCAGATGTGCAATTTGTAATGTCGCTATCGTTCAGGCAATATCTTCTACTTTGTGCTGTTTAAACCGAGTACTGGCATTAATGTTTCACTTTTTTCATAGTGAAAAAAAAAACTGCTGAATCCATTTGCAGTTGATTTTTTCCTATTTGTACAAGTCGCTGATGAAAAAGAAATAGAAATTTGTACAAGTCTACCCAGAAAGAAGAAAAAGAAGGAACAAAAATGGATTGCGATAAATTGTTCCATTAAAAAAGAACGTTGGGCCAGAAAGCCAACGAGCATACGATTTGATTCTAATTGAATTGATAATATTTTACACAGTGCTAGCACTTTGTCACCTGTTTCCAGCCACTCTGCACAGCGCAATACTTTGCTCCATTTATCGTCCAAAATGCAGCCGAAGAATGGCAAGCACCAAGTGAAACTACATTAATCACATTTCAAATCGGATTTCGTTTCAACATCAATTTACACCTCTTCACTTTGCGATTTTTATTCGGGTGTTGATTGGTGTTGGTGCGATGACAAATACGGAATAATTCATGCGATAAAGCCAATATTCAACCCAATATGTGTGTTTTCCACTCTCTCTCTCTCTCACTCTCTCACTCTCTCGTTCTCTCGCTCCGTGTATGCGTTTGTGTCAATTGCTCGTGGTGATTTTGGGCTGTGCTGCAGCAATGTTGATACGGTGTTGAATGGTTTCCCCATGTTAACAATCTAGTCTCGTGTATGTATGATTAATGAACACACTGAATGCAATTACAAAATATATTTTATTATGTTCGATTTGTGAACGGAATACATGATGATATTCTCATTTTTGGCATCACTCACTCACTCACTCACTCAGTCAGCCACTCGGTGCTGGTTGCTGTGGGTATTTCGGTTGTTGTCAATTTTCCGATGTTTCATCGCATGATAATAATTTCTTTTTACAATTCCTGCAATTTCATTCGAGAGAGAAAAAAAATACGTTATGGTTGATTCGTGCCTCGGCTACACACCGCAATCATATCAAACCATCGCCCGTGCATGGGGAGCGGCAACGATGCATTTCGCACTTCCATATGGTTATCGTTGGTGTTGGAAGGGAAGTAAGTGATGTTTTCTTTTTGACACAACGGTTAAAGGAAACTCGACGGATAATTCAATACATATCCAAAACCCAAGCACATTTTGTACATTGAAAGTTAACGTCATGGTATTTCATCGGCTAGGAAAGCGGTAACATTCGATTTGTCTTGTTTTTTTTCTCGACGCCGGCACATTCTTTCTTCGCTCTTTTTCGGATGCGTTTGGTATTAAATGATATTTTTTGGTATTCGTTCAAATGTGGTGTACGTACATCGTACATGGATCGAGAGAAAAACCTTACACACCCTGCAATACCATAAACATAATCCTTTGTATCACCATGGTGAGCTACGTGAACGATAGTCCGTCAACATGTGCCACACATACCATGTTTTTCCCTCGATCCAAACTAAATACCGTTGATTTGGGGAGTGAAAACTTCATACAGAAATTTAATATAGAATTTTTTTTCTAGTATAGCTCAAATATGTAAAGGTTTTCTACACTCAAAAAGGGACACATGCCGTTTCATCAGTGGAAAATTCGATACAGTGTTCAGGCTCTGCAACTATGTTTGCCGTTATTTTTTATTCTCTCTTAAAATTCTGTCTGAAATGTAATAAATATGAATTTTTAACATATTACACTCAATAAAAAAAAATCACATCGCGCATTGTTGAGAAATCATGTTTTAAAACAGTCGACAAATCTATTTTCATCGCATGGTTGGCGAAATTTTGTTTGGGTGTGATGGCTATACAGACTCCCTTTATCAACGGTATGGGTGAATTGTGTGGTGCGTGTATGGCCGCGAAAAATTCACGCATCATATACTCTTCATAAATGTGCCTTTTGGCAGTTTTACTTTTTGTTTCGCTCGCTCTCTCTCTCTCTCTCTCGCTCTCAATCTCTCTCTATACTTGTATGTAGTGGACGTTTGCGTTTTATGTGTGCCAAAATTTATAGACTTAAATTTATATCGTCTATGCACTGGGTGGTTTTAATGCATCAGATTCCGTCACTTGTGTGTATGTGCTCTCCTGTAAGAATCAAAAATGCGGCTCACGTTTTGCAATAATCAAAAATATGTATGTAAAAATGCCATAAACGCAGCACATACGCGTCCACCTCGATCATAGAGCATTTCTGTCTCCGTTCACTATGTTTCCACGTGTTGATAAAAATCGGCCCAAGTTGAATGAACTTTGATGCTTTTTTTCCTCTGCCCAAAGATTCTTCACTCTCTTGCTTGTTTTCTTCAAAGAAGATTCTCCATTTGAGACGAGCTAGTGATTCAGCTAGTACACAACTTAAGTAAATCATAAGGTCCATTTATCTCATTGCAATGCATTCGATCCATTTGACGTATCAAAAGAATAATCTGCTTGTGCTTATTTCCCAAAGGTAATGCTTAAATCGATTTACATCCCGATATCATCATTAAAATGGCTTACACACCGCTTTGCCTTTGAATCGTATTGTACTCCCAGTTACACACACAGACCAATTTGTTTAGAATACCGAAAATGGTCCATTCTTCCACCTGAGCTCTCTTGTTGAATTTATTTGTTGGACGCACTGCAAAATGGAAAAGATTCCAAAATATTTACGAGAAAATACCAAACGAATTCACCGCAAATTATTTATTCACCTGCGTATTTTTCAAAGACAAAAAAAAACTAAACCGCATTTATTCGAACAATGCAAAATGCTATATTCTAGATCCGACTTTCGGTTTTGCATTGTAAATGGCCGCCATTTAATCGTATTATACATATTTCATTTTTTCCCAGAAATACGCACGTCGCACATGCACTCGCCACAACCGCATATCTCGTTATATGCGGAGCATACACACATATACATACGCAGAAGACTCCTTGTACGATTGTGAATGTCCTCATGTGCATATCACATCAATCTTTTCGATATTTTAAATTGCTGAACGAAAGACACTACTTTTGACTCTGAACAAACACTTATTTCTCTTTCTGTCGTTCAACAAACAATGCAATGGCTACAATAGCAAGTAGCACGACGAAGACAATGAATGAAAGGTAAAAAAAATTTGTCTTTTATGACAGGGAGTGAAATCGGGTCAGAGTTGAAATTTTATTATATACATTGAAATCAAGACTCGAAATATACCAGAGGAAAACCTTTTATATCAAGTTTTCCACTCGGTAAAAGAGCTTTAACTTTAAGCGATGATAGCAACCGTTGGCCGATTATTTACCCTCTAACTCCGTCTTTCTATCTTGATTCCATTTACTTTTCGCAAAGTTTTTCAACTTCTAATTTTCAGTATGACTCGATTTCAACAAGTTTTTTTCTCCTTCCTTCTCTTTCTTTCTCTCTCTCTCTCTCTCTATCTTTGCTTCCATAACAAAAACACACACAACATTCTTTCGGCATGCTTGAAAACATTCCTTGAACCAAAATATTTGCAAATGTAACATTTTCTCCATCCCTTTTTTTGCTCACTAACTATTTTTGCAGACAAAAACGGAAGAACGGAAAAAAATTTACAAGTTTTAATATGATTCCCTTTCATTCCATTTTGTTTCTTTTTTGTGTGTGTCATTTTGAAGATTCGTGTTGCTGCGCAGGAAACTTTTAATATGAAGCAATTTACTTGCAAGTATTATTCCGCTTGTAAGAGGATGACCATACTTATGTGAAGCCATCGACGGTCTAGTGTTGTAATATTTTTTCTTCTTTTTTAACGGGAAAAACATGAAAATTCTCACAAAGAGAAGCACTTCACTTCTAGCTGTCTGTTTGCAGATTTAGCAAAAAAAAAGGTTCCCTTTGGGCTGTTCTTCTTTTGGCTGTTGAAGAAGTTGAAGAAGTGGATATCGAAAAGTTTGCAGCATGTCATTCAAACACGCATGCAGAGAAAGGCTAAGAAGAAAACGATTGACAGCAATCGTTTCATCAGCCAAAATCAACATGTTTGTCTGATCCAATGACAAGAAGATTAGCGCAATAATTCACGAGTAACATTTTTGGAGTGAAAATTATAACGGGTATCGTCTCAAATGGAACCCAAAAGACGTTGATGTTTATTTAGGACGAATAAGCAATGGGTGAGTGTTTCGTGTCGATGAGTTAATGCATTTCAGATTATATGGATTTAACGTTTCAAAATATGATTCGCGTTAATATTCAACACGAATCATATTTTTTCCCTTCCTTCTCTTCGCCGCTTCGCCCATAATCTTGCAACAACTCATGCGTGCATATCTTTTGGGATTATGTAAATATTGTACGTACGAGCATCGACCTTTTTTTGCATTCGCATCTTCAGAATGAAAAAAATCCTCCATAGACACGTTTCAATTTTAGATTGATTTGGCAAAACATTGACTGGCACAAGAATCACCCGAAAAGCATAAAATGTACGAAATCAAATACACTTAAATCAGAAAACACTCAGAACGCATTGGTTAAATCTGTGTACACAAAAAACTGATAGATTCAATTAAAACCAAAGCACATTTCAACCATCAAAAGTTCTGTTGCCACATAGATTTCAAAATAACTCAATTTTCGGGAATGTGCTTAATTTTGAATTTAGATTTGTTAAATTTGCGCGCTTCGTATGACCCTGCCTCGGTTATTTGCAAAATATGTAAACTTTTCGCAATTCTGAATGAGATTTGTCTGTTTTTTTAGGTGAACTCACAAGTTATAATGTAATTATTGTCAAGCTGATTGAAGTTTGAAACGAAATTTCAATATTCAAGCGTTCACTCCATCGCTAGTTCCATCGTCGAACAAAAAGAATGTCTACTTCCGAACAAAGTTCTAGTTTTTCATTGTGTCAAAAAGTTTAAGTGCAGACACATGAAGTCCCATTGAATTTAAAATGGATTCACAGCTGAACTCGAAAAATCGCATATTACATAGGCGTTAGTTTGATGGATAATATAAAACAACTTGTATTCAAAACATGAACCAGGAAAACTTTATATTGTAACGACGAAAATGAGAATAAAATGGTTTCGTCTATTGAAAGTTTTAAACTTATTCAACATTTATATGTTAAACTAAAATTTCCATTGAAACGTAAGCTTCACTTGAAAATGGATTGAATGTGAAAATGTGCAACACACATTTAGATTACACACAATCAACAAGAAGCTTTTCGTGTGACTAATGGGGCGAAAAATAGTGAAGCGTTCAACTTATTCATCATTCGCGTAGTACACATTGACCACGCACTGATCTCAATCTCAGAACAATCAACAGTCAACTTCGATAAATCTGATTATCTTGTTTAATTACCAATTTCAATGCAGTGAAGCTCGTTATCATGATACACCAATTGGTATTTTAAAACATTGTGACGCAAGATAAACAAATAAAAAAGCCATTCAAAGCAGTAATACTTCGAAATATGAAGTATTTCGACTATTGTTCAATGGTGTACATCTGGTCAATTTGATTTAATTCATTCATAACTTAATACGCATAGAATAGAGATTCACAGCATGGAAATAGTTTCAAATTGGTGCTTTTGCTCCATTTCAAATCACGTGGTAAGTCACATGGCTCTTCAATTTCGAAAGAGTATTATTTTTAACTCCAAGAGCCAAGATTTCAATCTCCAGATACAGTTGGCATTTTTGTTGTTCGTCCCCGTTTATTGAAACCATGAAAATGAAAACCGCATGAAATGTTACATCATGAAATTTTCACGTTTTTGCGTCTTTATTTCGTCAAATTGATAAGAGCCAGTGCTTTTGAAAAGATTTCAGAAGAACTGACTCAAAAGCAAATCAAACAATTACGATTCGAATGTACACAATTTTTGTCTTATCTTTTCCGAGTGCAAAATGAATCCAAATTTATAGAGAAGAATAGACGCAAACTACTCTCCTGATTTATATAAAAACACATTTTGTGTACGACCAAAATGTAAGACCTTTTTTCTTTTCTACCATCTTATTGGCCAGTTAGTGAATTTGTGTGTGACAATATTTATTCTAAAAATCAATATATGTTGAATTGTTTACGATGCTCCAATAATTTTAATTCATTTAAGTGGTGAAATTGGAAATTAAATTGAAAAAAGAAAATTCACCTCGCTTCTCCCGGTGAACATTCTCGCTCTACGCTACGCGTAGAGTCTTTTAGAACCTACGAAAGGAGTCCTTTCAAAGGATTCATTTTGGGCCTAGTTTGTTATTGCATAACAAACTATAATTGAGCCGTTACATGAAATGTACTACATCACAATGTATGGATGGATCAAACAGATAGCATACAGAGTACAATAAAGTTCAGATCACCAAAAATAAAAAAATCAGCTTAACTTCTGTATTAAATTCAATGCTACCACAATAACCAATACTCAACATAGTACATCATAATATATGGAAATGAAAATTTTCAAGTATCATATTGGTAATAATGTTTTAATCTAAATTTGTAGTTAGTCACAGATAATAACTAAACAAAAAAAAAACAAAGTTAGTAACGGCAAAAATTGGGGAAATGGTCAATGATAGATGACCATGGGTGAAGGGAGTCATCGAACACTAAATTAAGGAAATAAGTTGCTAATAAATCGAATGAAATGTTGAGGCCGCTCCAAAATCGATAATTCAAAATGTGCAAATCATGTTATTTATGGTTATTTAATGAATTCGATACTATTTATTCTGTAGCTTATCATTCATTTGATCTAGTTTTGATTTGTGTTTTGTATTTGTATGTCGATTTTAGGCAACGAGTGAGCGAAAATAGCTTTGCTTCAACTGCAAAAATGCTTCATATCAAACCGAATCGATTCCGTACGTCATTACCACAGGTATGCAAATATATGGCATCATAAAATAGAGACGGATTCATAGGTCAATCGGATATCTGAAGATCCGACTTCTGTGTTGGAACATCAAATCATTTAGAAAAAACAAAACCTGATTTCGTGAACTCACAATAGATTAAAATTTCGTAGATCATAGTAAGTTTGGTAACGACATTGTTGCTATTGGACATTGGTGTGTCTGTTTCATATCCAACGGTGCTTATCTCAGCACTAAGAGGTCTCCATAATGAAACCAATCCGGATGAAACGCTACAAATGACCGCAGTCGAAGCCTCTTGGATGGGTAAGAAGATACAGAGGAAAAAACAAAAGGAACGCTGATTAAGAACATGAATTGTTTGATTCAAATGTTCACAGGTAGCATTGGATACGTAGGCAAGTTATTTGGCAGTCTCGGGTGTGCATTTTCATCGGAATACTTTGGCCGCAGAAACTCCATGATTTTGATCAATTTCCCGCATTTAATTGCATTCTACCTGTTTTACTATTCGTCATCCGTTTGGAAGGTGTTTATCGCTAATATTTTACTTGGTTTCGGTTCTGGTTTCATGAAAGCCCCATGTTCAACGTACATCAGTGAAACGAGGTGAATAGAGAAAAGATAAGGAAACCTGAATTTGCGAATAAATATTGATTTTGTGTGTTTATTTTTGAATAGCGAGGTTTCGTTGCGCGGTGTTTTAGTTTCAATGACCACAATGGCCATTACCGTTGGGCCACTAATCATCTTTTCGGTTGGAAATTTAACTCCATGGCGAAATATTGCACTTTACTGCTGTGCTGTTCAAATTTTTACGACGATAGTTCTTTGGTTTGTAAGTGGAATCCACTCAAATTTGACTTTGAAAGGAAAAAAACTCGAGTCTTTTTATCATAAGTGAGTAAACATTTGGTTTTTGGTTTAGATTCCTGAGTCACCGATGTGGTTGCTCTCAAAACAGCGTGATGAAGCCGCACTCAAATCTCTGCAGTGGTTACGTGGATGGGTGCCACAAAGTGCGGTTGAATCCGAATTTGAATCCATTAAACGTTACAAGGAATCGTCAAATTCATGTGCGGCATGTAAAAAAATCAGCAAGAAATGTACGCATCTCAGCGCTCAAACCACAAGCCAAGCCGTCAACGAGCTAATCCGAAAGAGGACAATGAAACCATTTCTCATTTTATTCGTAATGTGCACTGTTTCATACTTCTGCGGCACACATCATCTAACATCGTTCATGGTGCAAATTCTCAACACATACCGTTCGCCAATGAACCCGAACTGGGCATCGGTTTTAGTGGCATCCATCGGCGTGAGTGGTACACTGGCCGGCATCATTGGATTAAAAATGCTCGGAAAGAGACGACTTTTCTTGATCGCTCTAATTGGAACCACATTATCAGCATTTGGCTTGAGTTAGTCGAGATTATTATTTTTGTTGTCCGAAAAATAGTTTTCAGAAAATTCAAATTAAAATTTTAATGTAATATTCTTACCTCAACTGACCAAAATGTTTAAACTTTTGCAGCGATTTACGGATTTCTGTATTTGCCACCAAACTCCAAATCATTTGAACATAAACGTAACGAAGAAATGGCAGACGCATGTCTCCCACTAATCATGTTTTGTTGCATGCGATTCTTTACAACGATCACACTTTTGGTAAGATTTAACTCGAAAATTCTGAGCGCAGCTGCTCTCCAGTTTGGAATTCATCATCAAAACCTATTTTTATCGAATTCATTGGCTCTAGATACCGTTTACAATGCTTAGTGAATTATATTCGATGAAATCGCGGAGTATGGCCTCGGCGCTGACAACAGGAACGAATAATATCTTGGCATTCATTGCTATCAAATCCTTTTATAATTTGGAGCATTGGCTGGATTTACCTAGTACATTTGGCATTTATTGCATTATCGGTGCTGTTGGGTAAAAAGCCTATTATTGAATCAAAAACATTCGAATCGCACAATAATAACTTTTCCATTCATCTGAACTTAGAATGGTGATAATGTACTTAATTTTACCTGAAACGGAAGGATGCACACTGGAAGATATTGAAATCCATTTCTCGGACAACAGTCGAAAAATAACCGATCGACATATAGCACGACGTTCAGACTGTAAATCGAAAGACATTTGCTGAAACCGAAGTCATTTCAGAAAACAAATTCATGAATATTGAATCGAAAAAAAAGATTTAAATACTCAAAATAGATCGCTTCATTTATAGAAGTTTCAAATGTGAGAATAGTACGTAATATTGATCGGCTTAAGCTTTATAATAAAGTATAGAATTTAAAAACCGAATTCATTATTTTAATACGGGAAAGTTTCAGCTTTATAATGCAAATGACACGGAAAAACTTCTCAAATCCCATCGATCGATGAAGGATGTTTCATGTTTCTGCAAATCATTTCGAGTGGTCTCTATCGAACATAATTTAACAACATTTTAATTAATAAATAGTGCTTTAAGTTGCAAACCGCTTCGTTAAGAGTTCTGGAGTTACCTTGGATAAGAAGGATTATCGCCAATCATCGAGATCAGCTAATTCGTAGATACTAGATAGGATGTTGAAGGATTAATACCATGTATTCGAGAGCTTATCCTTTTCGACCGTATTGCTTTTCACATTGAAAATATTCTCAAAACATGGATTTCAAAGTAACGGAGTTCAGTTTGATTTAAAAGGGTGACTAATGCATTATAATAAAATAAAATTATAGAAAAGTATACGCTCGATTAACCAGCCTTTCCAATATGGTTGAATCTCCAATCGAAATGCATTTGTACAAAATGCGACATAGTACTAAAACCTCCTAAAGCCGTAAAAACAATATGTTTTCGTTTCATTTTGGTGGTCGCGACCATCCATTATTATAAACAAGAAAAGAAAACACATGAAAATAAAAGGAGGAATAAAAGTTGTGGCAAAGCAGTAAAAAGACAACTTTATTGCGTATTGTTTCAAACATTTTAATTTTATTTATTACGTTCGTTGCTTGTCTTTCTGTCTGAATGATGATTCCATAACATTTTCAACGACGAATAAAACCACCGATTTGAGTTTTGTATGCAATGATGAAAAAACTGCTGCGATTGATAGATTTTCCACATTTGAACTCTCTCGTTCAAATTCCATTACGCCGGAGAAAAAAAAACAGCGATGTTGTTTTTTTATTGCGGATTTATTGTGTTACCAGGACAATGCATAAAAAAATATATATTCGCTTTCAATTATTATTTTCGTCATAAAACCGACTTTTGAAGTGCACCAATAAAAGTAACGATTCTAATAAAATCGATTATTTTCATGTTGTGAGGAAACAAAATAGCACATCTTGCTGTCTAATTGAAATATTATTATTCAAGAAACAAGACTCTAAGACATTTTGATTGCATACAATTTTGGGCGGGAAATAAATTCGGCTGGAAATGTTCAATAAAAAGTTTTTCCAAGAAAAAAAGTCATTTGCTTGAATGGTGATTACGTGGACTTGAAATGTAAGGTTTGAATTTAGCTACTCGCTTGAAGACTACATGCAATCGATAGTGTTCATAAGGCGTATTATGAATCGTCATTTATACGGATTTCAATATATAGAGTGATATGTGCAGTTCACGAAATGTTCTCCACATTTCGAACATTAATCGATTACTTTGGAATTGGCCACGTCCACCATTGGCCAAGGTTTGTGATGCAAACTACGCAAATGAAATTTTATGTGGAAAATTGCATGTATCCACTCATGTGTACAAAGCGGTGACGATACTAATTTCCATGATCCAATTTTTCAATTATTTAATTGTTTGGTGGCCAATATGAAGCGTATCTGATGCCTTTTCCTTATGACACGTGGAAGAAAATAACCACATTCATGTAACTACACAATTTGGTTTCAATTTGTTATGCGACTGGTTCTGAGTTGTGCTTTGATACGTGAGCATATTAAACGTCGTTTTCAATCTTACGCGTTCAATTTGATTCAAAAATTGAAATATTCAAAATACAAAGAAACAGAAATTCCGAAAATTGCATTCCTTTCGATTTTCAACAATCTGAACATACTCTCTTCTTGAGCCCAATAATATATCAGAACTCAATAGAAACCGTTCGGTGTGTGCTATGGAGTGACCTAGAAATGATTTTGTTCTAAACATAGCCAAGAAAAAATTGTGACACGTCGGACTTGTTCATATCAAGTGCATTTCCATAAGATATTTTGGAGTACGTGGCAGTCCGTGTTGCACAGTATAAAAGGGCAGTTGAACGAACAAAATTGTTAGTAATTGAGGGGTTTGGAGCGAAAATGTCATACCGAAAAGTTGAGAGGAAAAATGTCAAATAAAAGAGATAGCTACATAAGTGTATAAAATCGATAAAGTTTGCCACTTCAAAAATATAACCATGAACATGAATGTTTTCGAAAACCGCAAAATCGCCCCAAATTCGTTCAAGTCAGTTAGATAAAAGAGTGCGAATATCATGTAAACATTCGGCTCTGGTCAACAACATTTTTTCAGCTTTTGTTTTTGTCATTCCTTTCTTTGGGGCTAGCTCATTTTAATGTTATGTCGCATATGCGATATCAAACAAGTAAATTTATCTCATTTAACCAAATGGAAAAAGTTTCGTCAATGCAAAGCCATTACGCACATTATTATATAACTTCGCAAAGCATTTCGCACAAAAGCATTGACGATTGTTATTTGTGAAGGAAAATTCTTGTACGTTTAATCCCCAAAAAATGTCTTGAAGCTTTATCGAGATATTTATAGTCCTGATAACACGTCTTAGGATGTACACAATGAAATGTTCTTAGATATTGCTATCATTTGATCGGATGTTTCCAGACTGTTATTGGTTCTAATTCAGATGCCGCTTAGTGCGAGGACAGATAAATAGCAACGCTGTGATGAATTTGTCGCTATCAAATTGGAAGAAAATCCAGCAATCCATGCATTGTTTTTAATTTTGTTTCATTAGGTATGAATGGATGCGGGGATGCCGCTGATTGCGGGGCTGAGTGCAAATTTCCAACCACTCGCGCGGTATTCAACTGAGCTCACACAAATCACGCAGTAAAAATCAATACTAAAATTCGGAAGAATTATTTTCCGTACATTCCTTCCATATGTATTGAAATGATGATACCTTTCTGTGATGTTTACACTTATTTATTGTAAATTCATTTTTTCTTTGTTAAAGCTATCCACGAGTTGGCGACTTAATATTCTTATCATTGAAATCAAATTTGAATTATTTATCAAATAGCATCAAATGCTCTAGTTACGTTTCAAATCATAGTTCATGTCAACTCAATGCACTCTGCAATCAACATGGATCTGCCTTTACAGACGTAAAACTTCTCGTCAATTTATCTACCGGTATAAATTGAGCGACGACTTTTGCTGTCCTAGAGTCTCAAATTAACGCGTAATTAAACGCTTCACATAGCCTTTGCCCCTTGGAAACGTTTACCAAAGGTTATCTTGGACCGTTTGCCATAGACTAATAACAGGCATTTCCATCTTGGTTGCATGACTGTTTTCGTTTTCATGTTCCTACTATTGTGATTACCGCATAATTTACGAAAAGAGCTAGGTTTTTAACGAGGCGAGAACTGATAGTTATCGAAACCTATTGCTACTAATTGTTTATTATTTTAAATATGTAACAGTCTTGCACTCTTTCCTGCCAAACCTCAATCAAAACCCACATTATATTCAGCCAGAGCTTGGCGGTGTTTAATAAAATAAAAATAAAAATGAAAACACGACAGTAAAATAGAAGCAGCAACAGAAACTCGCAAGTTTAATTGAAATGAAAAGATTCTCTTTACCGGTGATTACCTTTAATTGATATCTGAATGCAATACAAATGCCTTGCTGTTGAATTCTTTATTGGCGCTTCGGTTTTGGTTTTCGTTACACGCAAACCGTCTATTCAACTTTTAGCGTGCAATTCGTTTCGCTTTGTAATTTAGTATATAGTTTTCTGTCGTGCACTCATTTTCGTTCCATTTTCGATTCGTTATTTTGATTGTGCTGCAAAACTGCGCATTAAATATAAATGAATTGTCTATTCAATTGCCATTCATGTTTCAATCGAAAATTGATTGTTGTGTATTAACAATATGCATTCGATAAATGCAGGTAAAAATCCACTGCAAATTAAATGTTCTGTAAGCTCTATTCGGTTCTAAAACGAAACCTCTATTCGAATTTGAAAAGCCGTGAGTCAATTGTCATGTCAAATTGAAATTGAATGGCAAATTTGAAATAGCGACACTTTCGATTGAACGTATATTATGGAAAAGTATAAGCAATTTGGCGGCAGGTGCTACGTGCCCCATTGCCATTGGAAATGAGTACAATCCAGCCTATGTTTGGTAGAACGGGCAAAAAAAAAATTCGGCACCAAAATAAACAATTTTATTCAAAAATCGATCGATAAGGTAAAGTGTAACAATTGGTGCATGAAAAGTCGAAGTTTTTCTTTCTTACCCAAAAGGAAATTGGTAAAAATCGATGTTATTCTTTGGATATGAAACTTTTGACTATGAAGCGAAGTTTTTTTTCCCTTCGCAAGCCGCCGCTTCATTTCAAATCGGCTTTTGTTGGCTCTGTTCACAGTGCATGTGAAGTTTTTCTTTTGTTAAAATTGTAATTCCCAAAGCGGAAATCAAATTTAAGTTTTATTGGCGACACGAAAAATCAATGTTGCCGAGGAAAAAAAATGTCAGAACAAAACTGTAAAGTTGTATTTCGACTTCCGACAGTCGACAGAAGAAGAAAGAGTAAAGTAAAAGAAAAAAAAAACTTTGATGAAAAGTGAAATTAGGAGTTTTCCACAAGTTGTTGTTAGTTTTTTTTTTTGGCCTTCTTCGTCGTATTTGGTTCTTATGAAAAGGAAGTTTAACGATCGAAAAAGGTTTGTAGCGAAATTCCAGTTGGAGTTCAGTTCGCTTGTTAATTTGTGCGGAACGCACGCAACAACCGTTCCGTTGAATTGAAATCGCATTCATTGACCAAACGTGGGCCTGGTCTTTCATTGCTTTTTATTTTTATGATTCCTTCGATTTATGGGTCATGAATGAATAGCAAAACACACACCAGCTATTTTCTTATATCGTTTTTTGGCATTGAAAGTGAACATGAATTGAAAAACGACCCCTTCAAGTGCTTCGCTGTCGATTCGGGGCAGGAAAAAAATGTGCTGATCCATGGAAAATAAAAGCTGACGTGCGTTCACTACGTGGAATAATGA